ACCAGATTTTGTCCCCCAAATGAAGCATTAATGGCAATTCTGGAGACACATAAAATACCGTTAGAAGGGAACTTACTTATCAATAGCTATGAAAAAATTCTAAGTGTTGGAATTGCTCAAAATCCAAGCTGATTAGTGGGAAGCATAGTATAGTATATATAGTTCTCTGAAGTTTCTGGGGAAGGAAAATACATTAATAGCATAATTTTTTTTCACTTGATTTGGAACTTTAAGGTAATGCTAAATTATAAAGCCTGTACTCCTTCCTTAAAATTAACCATCAAATATGAGCATATATTTAAAACTGTTCACAGGGCATTATGGAGTCTTATGATAGGAAATAGAAAATATGATATAAGTTCACTAAGGTGTTAAAAAATCTAAAAGAGAAAAGAGGAGAAGATGCATAGTTTGTAAATTTAATTCCACAGGTCGGATGGCGTTTTGTCACTTGTGTCAGCTGTTGCCATCATGCTGGATTAGCCGCAGACCATACCAGCAATGAACGGCTTCGCACACTGACAGCTGACTCCTGACTCTGAATTAACGCAGGGCCCTGCTCTTGTCCCGTAGGCTTACGTGTACGAGATGGGCTCAAGCACCTTTTCCCACCGACTGGCGGGGCACACAGACACCGTCACTGGAGTGGCCTTCAACCCCGCTGCAGCCCAGGTACAGTCCCACTGTGTGCACGGGGCCTCTCTGCTGCACACAGGGCTTGCGTCAGATTGTGTGTATCGGTCAGACTTTATTTTGGTGAAATTTCATATTTAAGGTTACACGCCAGTTTTCACTGAGTGCAGGGAGAAGAACTCAGGAAATAAACTTTTACTGGGAGAAAGAGAAATCCAGGAAAATGCCTTTTGTAATTTAAGCACTTGTCATTCTGTGCCCATGTATGTTTGATGTAGCTGAAATATAGAAAAATGTGGACATATCCATGGACAGGTGTGGTTCCATGTAGCACTAATATGAACACTGTTAAAACTGAAGAAAGCAAGCAAGTACCAGAGCAAGTAAGAACAGGATTTTGAAAATTCTTGTGAAAGAATTTGAATATAGAATAGGACCTCAAAATTTAAAGAAACTATCTAAATTAGGAGAAAAGATGAAAAGAAAATAACAGTTGCAAATCAATTGTATTAATGCGGAGGGAAATCTTTGCAGAAGATATAAAAGTAGTAACGATTACACTTGACTATTTGGGAACGTCAGTTTCATTTTGTGTTGGTAAGACTGGAGCTTTGATTCGGAGAACAGCATTGCTGCGTGGCTGTGCGCTTTGTCCTGACGTGTGGGGCTGAGGCGAACTGCGCTGCATACGTGTCTTGTCGACCTGCTGTTTTTCGCTGAGCAGTGTATTGTCGCAGTCCAGGGCACGACACTGTGCCCGGCACATAGTTTCCCTTCAGTGCGTGCTGAATACCGAAAACGCGAATTAACAAGTCTTGCCGTGCAGTCGAGTAGAGCTACCATCGGCACTATGGCTTGAAGCCTTCAAAACACCCCGTTCCGCCATAGCCCTAATTTATCTTTACAGTCCCCGCAGGTGGCGTTTAGGGTCATGTTGTTCTCCCCTGTCGCCATCAGTGCTGGGATGTACGTCTTGATCATGCTGCACTGGTTCCAATGGTGAGATCACGCTACCTATCTGTAATATACCTGCTTCTCTCGGTGATATATGTTGCCGCCTATTCTGAAACTGTCAGTATGTTGTTTTCAGTTGTATTCTTTTTAAAATCCCTTTGAACAACGTTCTGCCAGTGAGAGGGAGGAGGAGCACAGCATGAAAGAAGGAAGGAAAGAGCGAAGTCAGACCCAGCAAGGTGCGTGGCAGGGCGTGTGCAGCTGTTGGAAGGCGGAGCCTGGATGTCAGCTGTTTTGAAATTTCAGCATTTGGCTTCAGAATGTCTTTTAGCACGACCGAACTGAGGAAGCTTTTTGAATACTTGAAATTTTCAGTTGGAAGAAAGTTGTGTAGATCTCTGTTGCCACTGAGATTATTTTAACAAGTAAAAGAAGTAAACGTGGCCTGCATACAGTTATGAGAAGGGAAGGGAGGGAGAGGAACCAGCTGACGCCACAGGACACGGCAGGACGGTGTCGTGCGGGGTGAACGCCGGCAGATGAGCTGGGTGAAAATCTGGTTTTGTGGTGAATGGCTAGTAATGAACAAGGCGGAATAAGAAACCGTGGAGTGAGAGGGCTCCTGTCAACACACGGGGTTGGAGCAGCTTCCCAGGCGGCGCACTCAGGGCTGGCGGGTGGACGAGGCTCCCGTTCCTGCCTTGCGGCCTCTCTGTAGGGCTGCTCAAGTGACCTCAGGGCGGGGCAGGTGGCTTCAGGGGTGACACAGAGTAAATTCCAGAGAGACAGAGACAGAGAGCATGAGGACGAGTGTCTTCCTGGACCCAGCACAGAAGCACGTCCCCTCATTGCTGCAGGTCTGAGGGGTCCCCAGACCACCCCGTTCACGCGGAGGGGCTGGGAGTGGGACATTCATACACAGGCAAAGAAAGATTTCTCACACAAAGATTGAGATAAAAAGTAGTGAAAAGTTTATTTTTCAGACAGAGAGAGTGAGAGAAGAAGAATGAGATAAAAAAGGAGGGAGTGGCCACAGCACATGCAGGAAGGAAGGAAGTGCCGGCCACTGAGGAAAAACTGTTTGGAGTTTTTAAAGGGTAAAAATGGCTTTTTTCCCTCTGCTTCAGCAGACTGATAACGGAATCGGCTGCGAAGCTGTTGCAGGTCCTCTTTATTTTTCCCTCTTTTCTCTGTGAGGCCGGCTTGTCTGGGTCCTGGAAACGCGTTTGTGGCAGGGACTGGGCAGGCCTGGAGCAGGGAGTTCGCACCCCCACCGTCCACGGAGGGCTCGTCAAGGCTGAAACAAACTCTTAGAGGCTGTGAGTTAGGCCACAGGTGTTTAATTAAAACAAAACAAACGGGATAGTTGTGTTGTGAGTTTTCTCTTCAGGGGGGAAATTATGTGTGTGAGTTTATTTTCCTTAACTTTCTGTTTGATAGTTCATTTTCCTCTGTTTGATAGGTTACTGTTAACAGCAAGGCCACCTTTCAGGGGCCTGTGTGCCAGTGTGAATTACCCAAGGGTGAGCCTCAGTGGGCCTCTCAGAGGCCTCTCCTGCGCCCTCCGTGTTCCCTGAACGGAGTAGACACTCAATACAGCTGTTTGCTGAGTGACTGGATGCATTCACATAATAATAATACATCAAAGTTCTGTGTTTATATGTTTTCCGTGATGCAAAAAATTCAACCTCTGATGACTTTTATATTCTACATATACAAACATAATTGTTGGTACCTTATTAATTTTCTAGAATTTCCTGTTCTTTACTGATATTAGTCTACTGTCTTCTGCATATATCATTTTACTTCCTGTCCTCTGTCTCCCAGGACTGTATATAAAACAACAAACACAGCTTTAATTTTCATACACAGAATCAAAATAATTAATTATCCTGACCTACAATAACTTAAAGTATGTTTTATGAACACTGAAATTTTCTCAGGTTTCGAAAATATTAGTAGTTATTGAAGGGACAGTTGTCACCCACATAAAATTAAGGTTTGCAAATAACCACAGGCAGGAAACATTTCTGTTAAAAATAAACATGACAAAGAAGCAATGTGGAATGGCCAGGCAGACCTCCTCACATCTCCTCCCCCATAAGAACAAGGAGAATATTCACAGAAATGCTCAAAATCAACTTTCTTAAACCTCTGGAAATTAGCAAAAGGCTTGCAGCAATCCATTTATTCAAGGAAAAATGGCTGAGTCTTGTAAAAACAATGACTTCTGAAGTCTGTGCTGCATAACGTAATGAAAAAGGAGAGCTTGGCTTTCCAGTCAATGCTGTGGATGAGCAGATGGAGCTCCCCTGGGCAGCACAGGGGAGCCTGGATGTGGGGCTGCCTTAGTCCGTCGACGTCACTTAGTGGTGCAAGAGGGCACTGTGGTTTTGAAAGAAAAAGTAGATAGTTTTCTCCTGATAAGCACAGTTTACTTCATATATGATATGTAACAACACACACACTAAGAAAAAATTGCACAAGTCTGGTCAAATGTTAGAGGTATATGCTACAAATATTGATACCAACAGTGTGTCCCTTGTTTGACAGCAGATGTGGGAAGGAGAGAATTACCGGAGCTGTAACTGTTCAGGGTTCTGGGGGTGATGATTTTCTGTGCCAGTTATGATCAGCTTTTCAGAATCTTATAGCATGGGTCCAGACCAACCAATTTCTGATTGGTTCCTGGCAATGTCCTCTCTCTCTGTCTAAATTTGATTTTAAAAAATATCACTGTAAATTTTCACCTGCACAATTATTATTACTTTAAAATGGGATGCTTTGCTAGTTTCGATAGATTTTTGAAGGCTCCTTACTACTATCTACAAATTACAGCCTCACCAGATGATGAGACTTCTCTCTATGATGTCGGTGAGTCCTTGATCAAATGGAAAGCTGGTCCTCTTGGGCCAGTGTCCTACGCCAAGAGTAAGCAGATTTTAGGGTGGCTGGTTCACTATCGGCCGCTGGTGTAGTCTGTCACCTGGTGGAGAAAGACGTCATGGGAACATATCTGGATGCCATTTACATTAGCACTTTGCTGGTCTTTGAAGTGGTGAGGATGAACTCCGTAGGTTCATAGGCTACATAAGCTCAGCCAGAAGACACAGTGCTGCTGCTTAGCTGAATGCAAGCAGAGAGACTCTGTCATGGACTCGAAGCACAATAACACCCACTGTGACTTACTAATTCTTATTCTTTTGTTTGTATAGCAAGTGTTTATTGGGCTGTGAAGCCTTAATCTCCCTGGGTCTTTGAGATAAAGAATGATCATTGGTAGCATTTGTCCTGTGTGTTTTACAGGGTTACTTGGGGAACAAGTGATGTAGTGTAAACTAGTGACAAAAGCTCCTGTCGAAGATCTTCCTAGGGCAAGGCGCTGTGTGTGTTGTCTTGTTCTTGTCACTGCCCTTGTTTGTAGACATTAGTGTGGCCACGTCACAGATGAAGATGTTGGGGCCCAGGTAGATCAAGTGTCTCACACGCGGACACACAGTTTGCGCCAGAAGCTTGGGGACTTCAAACCCACGCAGCTACTGCACACATTTGTAATAAGATAAAAAGGCATTGGTTTTGCCATTTGTATTTAAATATTTACTTAAAAGTCCTTTTTGAAACTGTAATGAAAAACTTCTAGATAGACTTGTCATTCATCCAACCTAGGCTGAGTTTGGCAGATGCTTCCGGGGCTCCGGCCACAGCTCCCTGTCCTCTCACATCCTCCAAAGAGGACTGGGGTCTTGTCAGCCCCCCAGACCTTACACTGTCTTGCAGATAAGTCCCTCTGTTGTTTTTTTAGCAGCCACACCACTGCCTAAATTGTGGGCGTGGATGAAGAAGTGAACTTTACGCTGACCTTTCATTCGAAAACTTACACCGTCCAGGCGCCGGCACCTGCTGGTACTGAAGTACATTACCATCCTCTCACAGTTACATAGCACTTTTCAACTTAAAATCTCATCATGGTCAACATTTTTTCTCCTAAAAATGCTCTGATGGTTTGAAAAACTGTAACAGCTAATGTTTTTTTTTTTGTTTTTTTTTGTTTTCTTTTTTTTGTTTTACCGGTTCCTTTTAACTTGTTGGTTTAGGCCACCCCGGCTTTTTTTTCTTGCGTTTTTGGAGTTCGGAGTTTTGCGGGGTTTTGGTTGGGTTGAACGGAGGTTGCCCCGGGTTGTTTCTTTTTGGGGGTTTTGGGGGAGGTTTTTTTTTTGCTTTTTCCGGTTTTTGGAGGGTTGTTGCTTCCGGGGGTTTGGGGCCTTCCTTCGTTGGCCGGGGCCGGCGGCTTCGTTCCTTTTCCTAGCGCCTGGCTCTGACCTTCTTCCACTTTAGAGACCTTTGTGATTACATCGCACCCTTGGGATTGCAACGGATAATCCGGAATACTCTCCCCATCTCAGGGCGCGTGACCTCATCACATCTGCAAAGTCCCTTCTGCCCGTAGCTTGCCACATGCTCACGGGCTCTGGGGATCAGGACAGGCACATCTTGTGGGGCCACCATGCTGATCATGGATGACTAGCTGTCTTACCTCTGCTGAGACATCACTTGTTCCAGAGGCCTTGCCAGATACCCACCCTGCATCAGTGATCTCCCTATCTCGTTCTCATTTTCTCACTTCACTTTTATTTTCTCCCAGCACTTGGCCCAGCGATCAACGTGTTTGCTGGTGTCTCTCCCCTGGGGTGCGGGGGCTTATCTCCTGGGTCTCCTCTTGTTGCTTCTGGTGGTTCTTTTCCGAGCAAATTGGAGAGGTCTTTCTTCTTTGCAACCATTTAAGCCAGTTTCGTTCACATAAAATAGTTACCTAACTGTATGATTAACGAGTTTTTGCATTTCTCTCTGTTCTAATGATAAGCTCCTTGAGGAAAATTACCATCTTTTCTTCTGTGGTTCCTGTACTAATAAAGTGCTTGTACAAATACTAGGTACATTTTGAAGAATCCATGAGTTCTAGTCTTGAAAAATAATTTCTTAAGGTATTTTTCATCTTTGGGTTTTGCTACATAATAAAATCCCTAAAATATCGGAGGCTTTTGTCCTCAC